CTCTAGTAATGATGAATGCACTCGCCCGGGTGACATCGCCGGTCCTCACTATATGTCTACATGTACTCTTCAATCTCTTAATCAATTGAGAGACCTCTGTCAGATTCCGTCTGGAGTTATGGCGGAATCGATGCTACCCGGCCCTATGGAATCTCCGGAAAGCCATCGTGACGGCTATTTCTGTGTTTACAAGATCTATTTCAAGGGCTGCGGGCTAACCTTCCCTCTTCCTGAAGCCTTGGTCCGGTATCTGGCGGCCCTTGAAATTGCTTTACCCCAATTAACCCCCAACCTCCTTCGAACCATCCTTGGGATCATAACTGTTGCGGCGGAAGCCGGATATGTTATTGGAGTCCCCGAATTGAACGAACTTCTTAGCGTAAGGAGTTCGTCGAAGAAGGCGGGGTATTTCTCTGCGTATCCCAACGCTAATAGGAACATCATCTCGCATCTCCCGAACAAGGATGATAACTGGCATCATCCTTGGTTCTTAATTAAGAAAACCCCCGCTTGGATCGGAAATCTTTCCGATGTACTCCCATCGAAGTGGTCTGCGAAGCGTGGTAGAAATTAGGTCGCTTTTATCTTTTTTCTGGTTATTTTATTTACTTTTACTAACTAACTTGTTATTTCATTTCGCAGCTCTCATCGCCCTGACTATCCCGTCTGAAGAATTCATCGGGTTCTTCAAAATAGTCCACGAAGGGGAAACCCTTTGGAATTCTTTTACTCTCGAGCGGTTTCTAGAAGCCAACCACAAACTCAGGATGAGTCCCCCAGGTCAACTTCACAATCTTCCGCCTCCTCCCTCAACTCAGGGACTGTCATCTCGGGCTATTGCGGCCAAGCGCAAGGCGCTCTCCAAGCCGATAGCTGAGGCTTGCGAGGAGAAAAAAGAGTTTCTTGCGGCTACCATTGATAAGAAGGACTACAGTGGGACCCTGCTGGTTGATGATGGCAGCGCCGAGGCTGCCAGATCCGTCGTTGCTTTCAGATCGACACCTCGGCGTGAACGTCGCGATGACCGTTCTCCTCGGAGGCCCCGATCTTCTCATCGTGACTCTCCTCGCCCTCCCCGAGATGATTTCAGCAGTGAACCTCTTAAGAATTTGATTCGCAAGAAGAGGGACAAGTCATCTCGCAGTGACTCTTCTCCGCAGAGAGAGAAGTCACGGGCCCGGACTGACCGTTCTCCTCGACCGTCCCCCCTGCTGAGCCAATGGGTCCTCCTCCTCCGGTTGACATGTCTTCTTCTTCCCAACGTAGTGGTGAGAAGACGAACCAGAGAGCGGCTCCTCAGAAGGAAAGTTCTGAGTCTCGAGGTGACTCTTCGAAGTCAAAGCCTGTTCTTGTCCCTCAGGTCAAATCGCTTTCAGGTCTGGTGACATGTATGTATATGTTTCTTTTCGCCTTGTGTTTATTCTGAATTTCTAAAACTTTCCCTCTTCTGCTTTCGTAGCCATGGAGAAAGAGGGTAGCGTCTTTCGGTGCTTCAAAACCCGATCAGGCGCGATCCTGTCGGATTTTGTCAAGTGGCGCCCTGCAATTCGCGAACGCTACTTGCTTCATGCTCATCACTCATCTCGGGTTAGTTTCGCTTTGTTCTTCTAATTTTGCTGTCATTCTTCGAACTGACCCACCATCCCGGGTTTATGTGTATTGCCAGGCTAACGGCGAGCTTAATGACATGATTGAACATTATGAGGGGTTGGTCAGTGGTCGGGAAAAGGAGATTGACGTGTGGATGGGCAAGTTCTCTAATCTCGAGGCTGATCTCCGTTCCTCTACCGATTCCAAGAACGATCTTGAGGACAAGGTTGATAGCCTAGCATCCGAGCTTGCGAAGATAAAGGGGGAGCTGCAGGACCAGTACGACCAGAATCACCAACTCTAGAGTGAACTTTCTGGAGTTCAGGGTAGACTTCGCAAGCTCGAATCAACCGCCGATACCCTGAATAACCAACTTATTGAGCTTAACACGAAGTACAAAGCGATCACCAAGTTGCGTGATTCCGAGTTGGCAAGGTCGGCATCGAAAGCCAGAAAAGAGGTCAAGGGACGTGGGATGGAGTTGATTCAAGGGGCCATCCGCTTTATTCAAACTGAGAAGGCTAGGTCAGATCTGGAATCCGACATCAAGGAGCACGAGAGCAACTTGATCTTGCTGGATCAAATCCATGACCAAGATTTCTCCGAAGTGCAAGAAAGGACCGAGCTGACGGCTAACTTATCTGAAAAGCGAAGTCGCTTGGCAGATCTCCCTGCGTCAACCTTTAACCCTCAGCACTTCGAGGAATTCTTCACAGAATCGCCTCCCATAAGTGAATCGGGTCTAGACTGGGCAGGTAACCTCTGGCTCTTGATACTCACTACCTTCTTCTTGCCTTATATTTTCAATTTACTGGAACTGTCCTTAGGCTCAAGTGAGACGGAAGGTGTCATCCCTTCCGAAGTTCCTGCTGCATCGGAGGCTACCCCGAGAGATGGTTGTACCGTGGAGAGTAAACCAGGAACTTCTTCTGATCAAGCACCAGCCAAGGAGGCGAGTGACACTTTGACAGCCGAGACGGAGTCCGAGGTGGCTGTTAGTCCGTAATGGCTGTGTCCATTTTAAACTGGGGATTGTCCCATTTTTTAAAACTTGAATTTGAACTTGTTTTTGCCTAAGGAGGCTTTATTGTCATTTTCTTACAAACAAGATATTTTCCTGAGGAGGCTTTTAAACCTTTTTAGGTTATGATCCCAAGAGGGTTTGGTTAAAACTATGTGCAGGTTTGCAAAGTCCGCTTTTAACCCTTTTTGGCCTTGTGGCTATGCTTTCGAGATTTTCAGGCTGATCAGGCCTCTCTCTTTAGAATGCGAGAACTGACCTCGGCTAAACGCGAGTTCCCCACTTCGGGTTTAGTCAACTCGGTAAATTTGTTGGTTGCTCTTTCCTTTTCTTTAATGCGACGGTTGCTCTTTCCTTTCTCACTTATTGAAAATAGGAAAAGCGGTACGTCTTTAAGGCAATAACTACCTTTTCTCGATTCCCAAAAATGGTTTAAACCACTAGGGCACGCCATCATTATTGAATTTTCGTTCCCAAGACAAACCCTAATCCTTGTTATAAATAGGAGCTTGTTTGCCTTAGATCCTACTTCAAGAAATTTCATAATTCATTCGATAAGCACCACATTAATGGAAAGCGAAAACGTAGCCCCCGTTGACCCCGGTAGCCCACTCTTCCTGTCCGGCGATGGTTTTGAACCAGCCGGCGTTCTCTTTCCTCACGCCGTATTTCATTTTCCTTCAAAGGAGAAGAAAGAGGCTTGCGACTTTATGGACAAGGTTAATATTTGTCGTTTTTGATTAAAACCTTATGTTTTCTTTTATTTATTCATCTTTATGCTAGGTCGTCGACAAACACCGTCGCTTGTGTGACGAGAGGCAGCGGCTAGGTCTTAAAAGGCAAACACTCGAGGCTCGTATCGCTCGAGTGGAGAGGAAGATAAGGGCTCTGGAAAGTGATCCCTTTCAATGGGAGTGGAGGAACTTCGATTCTGTCGCTGAGATCCCGAAGATGCTTCGGATGTATCTTCGTTCTAAATGTTGAGTTCCGGGGCCTGTGAACGCCCCGGTCTATACCGCCCCACTTGACAGCAAAGAGGAAAACGAGGAGGAAGCCAACACTCATCGGAAACGTATTCGGGAAGATCCCGAAGTGGATGCCAAAAACAAGGTGTCCACTTCGAACTTTAAACCGGCGATGAAGGAGCCTGTTCCTGAGCCTCTTCCATAAATGTTCCCCAACTCTGCTCCTATTTTGAACTCATAATGGGCTTCGGCCCTTTTTATTTATGGAAATGTTTTGCAATTTTCCTTATTCTCGGAGATACGTCTTTCAATGTGGGATCGGTTTAAGGGCATAAATCCCTCCGCGAATCACTCCATTCCTAGAATAGAATCCGCAGCTCACTAAGGACATGATGTCCCTATATATTACAGCCTCGACTTCCCCTTACTCTTTACCGCTCTCTCTTTTTTTTCTTTAGCAGGTATGGAGTTCAACCTTCGATGTTCAGAATCTATGCCCGACACCTCCAGGATCAGAATAATAAACGAAGATGTTCCAAACGTGCCAAATAGGCAGCCCCTTCCACCTCACTACTGCTTCAGATCTCAGATTCGAGCTCCGTGCGTTTTGATCAGGGATCTCCCAATCAGAGACCAAGGAACAGCGATGACATTCATAGAGGCACTTGCGATTCAACATCGGAAGCTTACGTTGGAAAAGAGGAGACTTCGGAGGAGGATTAATCGAATGCAACGCAGACTTACTACGGTATCAAGAGACCTTCACATCCTTGGCTCTCACCCCGGAGAATGGATCGAGCTTGGAATTTCCGACTTCGCTCGTATTCCGGACTGCATGGTGCCAATCCTCGACCTTGCTGGTCAAGGAGTTCAAGTGTTCTGGACACCGAGAAGATTCCCCTAATCCGAAATGTGTGTGTAGATTGATACTTCGTCTTATTTGCTTGAATAAATGTTTCGTTTCTGATTCCTGTACGTTCGCTTAGTCGAACATTATTCGTCTTACCCGTTCGCACAGCCGAACTATTTTCTATAATAAGAATAAATTTTATTAGTAGCTGAACTCGTTTCCGAGCTGCCTACGTACCCATTTCGGGATCAAGCCACACCGTAGTTCGTGTATATAAAAAGTGCATGTAGCTTAAACATAAAACTTCTTTAGATTGATCACATTCCAAGGTCGCTTGACCGGCCTGTCTTCTAAGTCTTTCAGCCTATAAACACCGTTTCGAACCAATTCGGTAACAATGTAAGGTCCTTCCCAATTAATGCCGAGTTTGCCTGCGCCTTCTTCTTTTTTATTGTCAAAGACGCGCCTTAACACATAATCTCCTACGAAGAACGGCCTACTTTTGACTTTCGTGTTGTAATATCGGGCTGCTGCCTGCTGGTAATTCTGAATCCGAATCAAAGCTTGATCACGCCTTTCATTTATGGTATCTAGCGAATCATTAAGCATTGCTGAATTTTCTTCCTCATTTAATGGTGCTTCTGTTCGGTGAAGTCCGGGCACGTTGAGTTCAGCTGGTACTACCGCCTCCATGCCATAAACCAAAGAGAACGGAGTTTCTCCGGTAGGTCGCCTAGGGGTTGTACGATAGGCCCATAGCACGGGTTGGAGTTCATCATACCATCCTCCCTTTAGATCACTTAAGCATTTCTTGAGATTGCTTAGTATTGTCTTGTTCGCGGCTTCAGCTTGACCGTTTCCTTGCGGATATCGTGGAGTAGAGTAACAGACTTTGATTACCCAGTCCGCATAAAAGGCATCAAACTCATGTGAAATGAATTGCGGCCCGTTATCAGTGACTATCTCGTACGGAACTCCATGTCGACATATAATATTTTTCCAAATGAAAGTTTTCACCGCCGAATCCTTGATGCCAACATATGCCTCAGCTTCAATCCATTTCGAAAAGTAGTCCGTCAAGACCAAAAGGTATTGTACACCTCGAGTTGATCTATGCAACGGTCCAATGATGTCCATTGACCACCTCATAAACGGGTATGGGGCGGAGATGGAGGAAAATAACTCCGACGGTTGATGGATCAACGGTGCGTGAAGTTGGCAGCGCTTACATCTTTGGGCGAATTTAACACAATCCGTGATCATAGTGGGCCAATAATATCCCATTCTTTTAACTTTAAAAGCCATAGACCTTCCTGATGAATGACTCCCACATAATCCTTCGTGCACTTCGCTCATGACGATTTCGACTTCGGGCCCGAAAATGCACAGTAGGTAAGGGTCACTGACACCTCGTCTATACAATGTATCCTTTGATAGACAAAAATTTTGCGCTAACTATTTTCATTTTCCTAGCTTGCCACTTATCTCTTGGGAGTTCGCCTGCCATGATGTAGCGCTTTATTGGCTCCCTCCAGTCAGCCCCGTAGTCTTTAGCCGGAATTTGGTCGACTTTGTGAAATAATCGCGGCTCTGGTTCAGGATGCTCGTTCGGTTCAAGAGTATCTTCTTCGATTAATGGCCCGGTTTCTATTACTATTTCTGGAATTACGTCTTCTGCCAGGATAACAGGTTCTTCGTTAGATTTATTTGATCCCTTTGACTTTCTTCGTTTGACGGGCGGCAGCTCGACCTCGGGTTCCCCACGGTCTCGTGTGGCTGCTCGAGATCTTGTAACGACGAGGGTTCTTTTGTCATCTTTAATGCTTCATTCTGAGATGCATTCCACCGGAATAATTCTTTTCAACTCAGGATCTGACGTTGATGCTAATTCGGCAAGTGCATCTGCGGTTGTATTTTCTCCTCGAGGAGTGCGAACTAGTTTAAACTTTTGGAAATTTTTAGACAAATCTTTCACCACTTCGAGGTATGCTTCCATTCTTGAGTCTTTGGCTTCATAGTCTCCATTGAACTGGTTAACTACTAACTGCGAATCACAATAAGCGACTATTTCCTTAGCTCCAACTCCTTGTGCCAATCGAAGTCCGGCAATTAAGGCTTCGTATTCTGCCTCATTATTGGAAGCATTAAATAATAATCGGAATGATTGTTCTAGAATATCGGAAGTTGGAGACTCCAACTTGATTCCCACTCCGGATCCTTGTTTTGATTAAGACCCGTCTACATGCAATTTCCAAGTTTGGTTCTCCGATTGTTCTAGCGTGTCAGGTATTGGTTGCTCGGATAGGAAATCTGCTAAAATTTGAGCTTTCATACTGATTCGGCTTTTGAATTCTATATCGTACTCGCTCAATTCCACCGCCCATTTCGCCAAACGTCCGGACTGACTTGGACTATGAAGTATTGTTCGGAGTGGCTGGTTGGTTAATACTTCGACCGGATGAGATTGAAAATATGGGCGCAGCTTCCGAGCCGAAGTCACCACTGCGAGTGCGAGTTTTTTCATCATTGTATATCTGGTTTCCGGATCCGTCATTGACTTACTTATGTAGTAAACCGGCTTCTGCTCCCCGCGGTCTTCCGAGACTCCACTAACCGCATGGTTCGACACTGACACGTACAAATAAAGCTTTTCGTCCACTTCTGGTTTGGATAATATAGGTGGAGTAGTTAAGTATGCCTTAAGTTGTCCGAAAGCTTCTTCACACTTCTCATCCCAAAGGAATCCTTTGTTTCCTTTTAGAATTTGGTAAAAAGGTAACGACTTATCTGTTGATCTCGAGATAAAACGATTCAAAGCTGCAATCCGCCCAATCAACCGTTGTACCTCCTTGAAGTTTCTTGGAGACGGCATGTTTAGAAAGGCGTTGATTTGATTTGGATTAGCCTCAATCCCTCTTTCCGTTACAATATAGCCGAGAAATTCCCCGGATGGGACTCCGAATGTGCATTTTGCCGGGTTCAGCTTCATCTGATATTTATTGAGAATATCAAAACATTCCTCTATATGCTTAACGTGATCCTCCTTTTTTAACGATTTAACCAACATGTCATCTATGTAGACTTCCATTGTTTTCCCGAGATGGTTGTGGAACATCTTGTTAACCAACCGTTGATAAGTTGCTCCTGCATTTTTCAAACCAAAAGGCATT